TTTTAGTTTTTCGTCATCTTACGACGTTTCGATAAATTTATTATCATTATCAAGTAAAAGTAGAAAGTAGGTAATCGCTTAACAGAACAAAATAGAACGTATTATGGTACTGTACAAAATATTGTAGAGTTGGAGTAAATGATAAGTAAGTAAGGGATCAGTTCTTGAACTTTAAAATTATTGAATTATTACATGGTTAAATAAATGAAGTAAAATACAATATTATTAGAAATACATGTATAAATATAACATTGATTAATGAATGTGATTGATATGGGACAATTACATTGGTTATTTCACTTTAGCGACATTTATAACAAGGTTTAGAAGGTTAGATACAAGATAGTATAATAAGAAAACGTTGTGATTACAATCCGAGTAAAATGAGAAATTCAGTGAGAATTACAGATAAAATTCAGAAATAAGTCAAAGAAGAGTTAACAATGTGAGTAAGATGTGTTACATGATCAATATGAGAAGAGTATGTATTGAATATTATCTATTTGATATACAATAAGACTGAGTTTGAACGTTATATTACAATTATTATTATGTAAGAATGGTAATAGATAGGTATTGTATTGAATGATGTTATTGAGTTGTCTTTTGATTTGTTCGTCTAATGGCACGACCTTCAGGATATACAACTTTTTCAAGAGATCAACTACTGACAAATCTTTGAAAAAAAGCCAAAGATTTTTCTTCAATATTAATTATTCAAGAGGAACAAGTGATCAAATCGAATCTCATTTGAAAAGCACATCGAAACGAAGCTCATTCAATTGACGATAAGACTATTCAGAATAACAAGATCCAATATCGATCAATTGATTGAGAAGAAAATCGTCCACATAAAACAAAGAAAATTTTGTTTGATCATATTAATAAACAATATTCTCTTTGTAAATACTTCCCACATTCATTGGAAAACGATCAATCCTTATTTTCCTTCATCATTGATTAGATTTGTTTTTCTTTCATCAATATCGAAACAAGCATTTCTCTTTTAGCAATTTTCACAAACATCTCGACACACAAAAAGAACAAAGAAAATTCTTATTGAGATAGAGAGAAAAGTCTTTAACGATTGAATGAAGAGAATCACCAATCGATTGATTGTTGAATAATTGGAACATTTGGAATGAAAAATTTCAATTTGAAAACCATCTTTTTAATCTTTAGAAAAGAAAAAGAAATTTTTTCAAAGAATAGAAGAAAAAGAGAAATAATTCATCTTCGACTCTCCTCTCTCGTTTTCTATCGAAGGTGAAGAATTCTATTGTCAAGAAAGAACTCATTTGTCTAATGTTTTCCAACAGACCTTTCATTGATTCTTTTAAAAGAACTTTTACTCTCAACATGTGAAAGTTATTGAACAGAATCAATATTCATTGATCTGATTGACTTTTTCAACTTTCGATCTTTTACTATTTGACATAGGAGATGAAAATCACTAGTCAGAAATTGATCTTATTGCAAAGATTTTTTTTTCTTTATTTAGAAACTTGTATCACACCACCTAATAAGCGATATAAAGATGTTCTAAACAACTGATGAATATACTAAGAGCATCTTTGTCAAATAACTGCATTCGAACGCATATATGCGTCGCTGGGACTCAAAGGGTTAAATATAAAGAATTTTAAATATTAAAGAGATAAACGTGTATAAAACAATCTCCCATTGTCGAAATCCATTAGGATCTTATCTCGATTTCGAGTGCAAGAAATCTCTTCTTCCATACCCTCTTTAATATAATATTCATACCAGTTAACAGTCCCATAGAATTCTTGCAAATATGGATGTTGTTTTAACTTGTTTGGCAATCGAATTCATTTATTTCCAATAATCTCATCTGGTGTTAATCCTTTATTTATAAATCTGATAGTTTGATCATGAACAAATTAAATCGCATCTCTATAAATAGTTATTAGATCATAAATAGAATGTTTTCCTTTAATTGGTCTTGTATGACATGGAATTAAATATTCTGCTTGTAAATTTCTCATTAAATCTAATGAATGAATCCATTGTAAAGAATCTCTTATAGTTGTACCTCGTATAGCATAGAAATTTGGAAATGATTTATAAATATTATCAGTAGCAAAAAGAACATTTTCTTTTGACATATGAATAACAATATGATCATCTGTTTCTCCTGGACAATAATAAAGTGTAAATTCTCTTCCACATATACTTAATCGATAAGTATCATTATTAAATATATGAGTTGGTGTGAAAAAACCTTGACTCGTATATTGATTATATTTTAAAAAAGGACCAATTCCACAATTAATATGACCAGTTTGTTTATTTAAATAAGTTCCAAATTGTCTAGCTGCTCTTTCAAATGTAATTCGTTGATCAAAATTCATTGTTTTATCAAGAATTTCTAATGTTTTTGAATGAGAATAAATTTGAATATTTTCGATATTATCTTCAGCAAAAACATCAGCTCCGAAAACATGATCTGCATGATAATGAGTATAGATTATAGCAACGATTGCTTTTGATGATATTTGACGTAAATCTTCTTTTACTTCTCGAGCACTTTCGTGCGATTCTAATGTATCTATTAGAATATTTCCATGATTTCCTTCAATTAACATACAATTAGCTAAACCATATCCAATTACACAATGAATTCCGGGAACAACTGTTAAGACTAGAATATATCACATGTTTTTATTCGACGATGAAACATTATATTTAATTATACTTTGTTTATGAAGTTTTTCGCTTTGTTTGAGTAAACCTTCAGGTGCCTTTATTACATTTTCACTTTGATTAACATCAAACATATTCAAATTAAATTTAAAACAATATGAAAAGAGCTCTAAAATACTTCAATTATAAAATAAATAAAACAATATTAACCTTATCAAATCAATAATAAACAAGATAAATCATCGAACAAAGAAAATAAATGAGCAAAAAATCTAACGATTATTTAATAATATGATCAAACCATCGAATAAGAAATGACGATTCTTTTTCTGAAAGTTTCATTCATATTCAACATTCTAGAATTAAGACCATTCCCTCAAATCTCTAATTACAATTCGTTGCACTAAATGAGCATTCGAATAACGACAAGACAAATATGGACATCGCGAAAATATGTTACAACCTTTCTTCTTTATTGACTTACTTTCCACTTTCGTAGAACTTATAAATAAAACTGCAATCTCTTCATATATATATGTCAAGCAAAAGTCCTTCTAAAAAATCCAACACAACAGGTAAACGTCTCCTTGTTTTTGTTCTACACAAGAGATATTCTTCTCAGTTATTTGCTTATCTTTGTCGGAATAACATCGATATGTTGCTCGTCAGAATAACAACACGTTGACGAGTTCTATAACAAACAACACATAACAAAAACAAAAGAAAACAGATCTTTTTAGTAACAAATCGTACGAAGAAGAAAACAGAATTTGCTTTTTTCCATCTTATGATCAATTGTGATCAACGTCACGAAGGTTATCATAGCAATTCAAATCGGGCGATTTTCAAGTGAAAAGTCTTTGCTAAGAATGACCAAATATCGGACGACGGTTTATTCATGGAATCATTTTGCACAAAATCTGACGGTCATCACTTAACAGTTAAATCATCATGAAAACAATTCATTAAAACAATAGGACAGACATAAGGACACAAATAATATCTGATTATATGTCGTATGTCTGCAATCAGTCATATATACGAAATGACACATCCGATTACTTTATTTTCAAATCTAAATATAGAAGAAATCTTTCTATGAGATTAGATTCGAAAAAAATGCCTAATTAATCATTCAATCAGATTGATTATTCAATTCATCATTTCATCATGTTAGCCTTTTGCTTTCTGTCTCTTTTTCTTTTTACGAATTATTAAGAAAAAAAGACGAAAGAAGAAATAAAGCTTATTGATTATTTGCAGTCTTTTCATGAAAATAACATAAGAATATTATCGATTTGGCAAAAGGCAATTCATATAACTTTAACTAACCTTCTAACGATCATTATTTTGAATGAATCTTCTAGCTTATTCTTTCCAAACACATCACATCACTTTTACTGCCATGTCACATCATGAAAGTCATAATCTTTAAAAAGTTAATAGATGAGAGAATATTCATCTGAATGATTTGTCATTTGCATTCAGACTATCTTTGATCAATGATGACACATTACTATAAATTAGTAACTGAGAATAATTCTTATTACTTTTCTAACTTCCTAGCAAGTAATGTATTCATAGAGAAATTTTCTTTATTGATCAAGGTTATTTTTTTCATGTGAGAAGCATTGAATGCAGAGAAAAATAATCTAGCAGAGGATTGCATTCGGTTTTACCTGCTCATTCTTTACCGATATCTCTTTTAGGTAGCATAATTCTTCTTCTTCTTGGTGTCGACTATTTCGATAGTGAGAAAGCTTTTTCCATTGGAAACTTCCATTCCTAGTTGGCCAAGTCACCCTCACCCCTCACCCTCAAGAGAGAAGAAAAAATGTAAATTATGTTTATAGCTTAACAATATTAATAATTAAACATTGAATATACATTTATTTGAGTGATGTAAAGTTAGTAAGTATGTATAGATTCTTTTTTGTTTATTATTATTCTTATTATTTTATTATATTTTTTTATTGTTCATGTAATTCAAATGAATTATTAACCAAAAACACGAAGTGTATGTTTTACGTCATTTGTAGCGTTTCTACATGTTCTATTTGTTACGATGCTTTCTTTTATTATACGCTTCGTTCAATCAGTTTCCCATTCAAGTGTTTCAACATTAGCAATGCCAATAATTCGTGTTTATATTCTCTCTCAGACAAAAAAAAACAATTTTTAAAACGCAAACATCCTATTTTACATGAACTGTATTATCATATAATTAGGAACATATGATTCCATGTGTATCTTAGTACACTACATAACTACAGATGTAGTTTGATTTCTTTCTTTCTTGCTTTTATCTTTTTTTGTATTTTTTTTTTTGGAAAATGGGTAAAAATGACATTCATAATTGTCATTGTCATTCGCACCTCGTATGAAACGGATTGTTTAAGATATTTGACTACCGCATCTAGAATTGGGCTATAGAATCTGTATATAGAAAGAAACCTTTTGTGTAACTTTGAGACCGCGTTCTAGTCCAGTTTCTTAAAACCGATAAAATTACGTGAAAGTTACACGAATCATTCTTCGAATGTGAAAGTCAGTGCAAACGATTTTGAGAAACAGACTAGAATAAGAGTTTCAATTAATATAACATGTTTCTTCCTATACATACGTTCTGCAGTTAAAATCTTGATGCTGTAACTTAAGCACTTTTCGAGAAATAAGTATATTTCTGTTATACCTCTTTTTGATGTTTCGGCAGATCTAATGATACCGTTAGATAGAGCTTGTCGAGTTGTAAATAGCTTACTAGTTCTCTTTTGTAACTTATTCGGTGAGACGAATCGTCGCGGTAAATACTGGAATCGACTGCTAAGTTTCCTTGCATATTAATTAATCATCTATTGATAGTAAAAGGTTGTTTTTTTCCGTTTTATTGATTTGTTCTTCTTTTATTTTTAGATAAGAGTTTCTTTGTTTCAACAACTCACTATTACACCTGTTTGGCTTTTTTCTCAATTCGTAGAGAATATATTTTAGAAAAGTGATTCAGAAGATTTTTCTGATAACTAACAGAAAATCATAATCATCTCTTCGTATTATAGACGAAATTGATGCAACATTCACTTATAGTATTGAAGAGGGAAAGATAACAAGATAAGCCAATGTAGAAAAATAAATGATACCATATCAACAGGAAGACATAGAAAATAATGAAGGATAGAGTCATTCACAATCATGCAGCTAATCATGACATAAATAGTCAACAATGTCATTTAATGATGAGTTGTTGGAATCGATATGCTTTATGAGAGCAAAAAATGATTGTATACTTCAATATCAAAAGAGATTTTGAAGTACTCTTCCATTCAAAACAATTTGTACATGAATTGACGTAATACGAAAAAAAAATCTCATGTTTGCATTGTATTCATCAAGCCAAAAGGAAGATTAGTCCACCCGTAAAGGTGAATGTAATTTTAATGTCTGAATTGTAACATACTGGAATGTTCTCTGACATTAGATAAATGAGAAAAATTAAATTTTCTCCTGTCG